ACATGCCAGTGGTGCAGGTCTGAGGTCAGCGTGGGGGAGCCAGGCCCTCCACGGCCTCACCACTCCCGGCAGGGCCCCACCAGGACATGGCATCTGCTTCCAATCAGCTGTCCCTCAGCCCAGGGACGGGGTGAGGGCCTAGACCTCCCCCGAGGCCTGACTTCTCAACATGCAAAATGGAGGCAGAAGGTAAAGAATGCACTGAGAAGCTGCAGGGACCAGGTCAAAGAGCAAAGTGCTAGAGAGAAAGGTCTGTTGTGGTCAAGTCACTTCAACTAAGTTCCTCTACAGCTCCCTTTTGCAAGGCCATACCCAATCCCAAATCCCTGTGTGTTAAATGCTTGGTCTCCAGGGGGCTGCTAGTGGGAGGTGGTGGAAGCTTTAAGAAGTGGGGTCTGGTGGGAGAGGTCTTAGGGTCACTGGGGACATGCCCTTGAAGGGGATTGTGCAACCCTGGCAATCTTCTTACTTTTTTTATTTTTGCTCCCTGGATTATGATGAGGTAAGCAGTTTCACTCCAGTACACACTCCCACCATGATATACTGCCTTACCACAGACAGTCCCAAAGCAATTAGGCCAACCGATCATAGGCTGCAATCTCCAAAAGGGAACTAAAATAAACCTTTCCACTTTACAAGGTGATTTTCTCAGGAATTTTGTTATAGTGACTACACAGCTCCAGTCAGACCCTCAGCCTCCCCTAGTTCCCGCTGCCCCATTACAACCCTTTGCCTTGTTCCCCTGCCCAATGATTGGCACTCACACCCTGGGACCTTCTTCCCTGCTCTGTACAGGTGACCCTCATCCTTCAGCTTAAATCCCACTTCCTCAGGAAAGCCTCAGGACCCCACGTTTGTTCCCTGTTAAATAATCTTGCTGGACTCAAGTCTGTTTTTTAATAATGGTATTTTTAATAGATGGTATTTAACCATCTGCCTCTGTGCCCAGACTGTAAGCTCTGTGCAGGCGGGAGCTGTGTCTGTCTTCCTTAGGACTGAACCTTAGAATCCAGGGCAGGGCTAGCCACAGAGTTCACACTCAAGAAATCTTGGTGGAATGAATGAAAAATTCATGCTTCATAAATTTTTTAGCATCTTTCTTCTGTTAATCTTCAATTGTTTGATTTCCACGAGTTCCCTCTGGAATAGTCAATGTTTATAACCATTTTGCAGGCCCAGAGTCAAGTCACAGATGAGTTAATGGACCCTGCCTGGTTCCAAATCGTTGCACATTCACTGCCTCAGGCTCTTCATCTAGGAGGAGGAGAAGGAGGGTTACACTGGAGAGGGGAGTCAGAGGCCAGAGAGGCTGGATGAGGCCAGAGGAGGGTGAGGTGGCTGCATGGCGTGCTCTAGCAGCCAGGTCCCTCACAATCATTTTGTCGAGGGCCAGCCATCCTGACGTCCCCAGGCAGACGTCATGGGGATATGCCCCAGCAGTTCCCCAACTCTCGTATCCCATTCAAGAAATGGACACACCCCAAAATGAAGAAGAAGAAGAAAGTGGAAGAAGGGGAATGGTCATCTCCACTACCACCTCAGACTGGGGCCCTCAGCCCAAATTGAATGGCCCTCATCCTCGACAGATGCCCCCGACTGTGATGGAAATGAGCTTTGCAGTCAACCAACCTGGGGCCAAACCCAAGTGCTGCTGACAGTTCTGCAAGCCTGGACTGACTGGTTATTCCACTCTGAGAACCTCAGTCTCATCTGGAAAATGGGACAATAACGGGGCTGAATTTGATAGGCTGTGGTGAGACTTCCCTGAGGCTGTAAAGGGTAAGTGCCTAATGCCACATTCCCGAGGCCCCAGCAGACTCATGAGGACCAGCCTTTGGGCATTGAACGGCTTTTTGTGGTGGACAGGGCTCATTCCCTCCTACCTGGGAGAACCTCAAGGACAGGAACCCTTATACCTCCCAGTGCTTTGGGACTAGCCCAGGCCGGAGCTGGATGCTCAGTTAGATGCACAAATATGCAAATGTTTGCTCCGATCCAGAGGAAAACTCTGCTGATTTCCTGCTGATGACAAGACCTGGAAAGCTGAAGAAGGAAGTTCCTCTCCTGGAGGACAAGTGCTCAGATGCAGAGCTGAGAAGGAGCAGTCAACTCCAAAAGAGGAGAGGAAGGGATGGGACCAGAGGGGACAAGTCTGCAGGAGAGGATGTGCAGGGTTCCAGGCGCCCTGCAGAGAACAGATTTCTCCTGGGATGTGAAGTGTTGGCGTCAGACAGAGAAAGGACCGGATGCCAGGAAGGATCAACAGAATTAGTTGGAACTTGGCCTAGAGGTGGGGACAATGAGAATAAGCCTCCCACAATAGCACCTGGCTGGCACACAGAACATGCTCCATAAATACTTATTAAATCAATGGATCAAGAAGAATGAGATTTTCCTACTAGATTCTTAACTGATCTCGCTGCCTCTTTGGACTCTGGCCTCCCGTACAGCCATCCCCAGAATGCTAACTCAGGGGTCAAACTCTGACACAGTCATTCCTGCTTGGGACCCTCGGGCACCTCTCTTCCTGCAAGAGGCAGAGGTCACATGCTAGTGGCCAGATGGGGATTATAGACCTTTTCTGTTTGGCCTGAGCCTGTGTGTTTTGTTTTGTGGAATTTGTGGAATCTACATTTCAAAATGACAGTGCCACCTGAAAACCCAGATTTCCAACTTCTCTGAAAGAGTTAGTTGGGTGACATGGCTCTCTGTGTCTGCCCTCCCACGTGGGATAACGGCTGGAGCTGAGAGGACAACACTTGCCCTCCCTAGAGCAATGTCTTCCTAGGTGGGGTCTTCATGACCCCCTCCCAGCCTAGCCCCTGCCCATAGGCCAAAGTCCAGATTCCCCAGTTATGCCCTGAGTATTTGGTGATATGACCTTTGGGATGATCATCTCCACCTTGTCTGTCCTCTCTGTCCTTGTCTCCAATGGTCTGGCTACTCAGGGCCACATCTAGCACACTGCCTGTGTTCTGTCACAATTGTGAGTGCTTGTACACATGGGATTATGGCCTGGGTGACTGTCCCTGCCACAGGGCCTTGCACAGATATCCATCTGGTCTTTGGAGGAGGCACAAGCCCTCCTTGAAGTGGGGCTTCCTGCTGCCCACCCAGGCAGAGTAAAAGCAGCCCTCTGGCCCCCACAGCTTGCCAAATGCCACCACCCTGAACTCTGCACTGTGAGCCACGGGGCTGGGAGGGGCAGGGGCCGGCAGAATCACATCTCCTTCTTGCTTTATCTCTGGTGCCCAGCACAGGGCTGGTCTCTAGACCTACGTACGGTATTGTCTCCTGGCCTCGCTCAATATATCCCTTGAAGGAATCAATGAACTAGAAATCCTTGATTTCATAGATGACCGAGGCATAAAATAGCACCCAAACTGCACCCAAAAATGTAGAAGACTTTATTTTATGTAGGTAAAGCCATAGTTGGTCACATCTAACCCCAACACATATTCACCCCATCCTGAAAGATTGAAGGC